CCCCCCGTACTCAGTGATGACACCTTTTCCTGGCTGTGAGTGGGATTTCCTTTCTTTACGATCCATGTTTTTCTCTTGCAGGACATTCAGATAGAAGCTCTTCTGATGAGAGCGTGTGAGCCCATCATCCAGGGATACTGCCATGTACGTACTCTCAGCCTCGCGTCACATAGACTCCATGTTGGCTCACTGCGTCCGGATCTCTTACGCGTTCCCTGTGTTTTGTGCTGCAGGAGGTGGCCGACAACCAGATCGACTCGGGGGACCTGATGGAATGCCTGATCCAGAACAAATACCAGAAGGAGATGAATGAGAAGTGCGTGGTGGGGGTCACCCACTTCCAGCTGGTAATAATGCGATCGTGTCTGCGCAGGCTGGCGGGCCCCGTGGAGGGGGCAATTGTGCGGCGTCTCGCTCGGATATTTCTGTAACGTCTTTTGCCGTTTCTTTTGTCTTCATAATTCAGATCCAGATGAAAGACTTCCGCTTCTCTTACAAGTTTAAGATGGCCTGCAAGGAGGACGTGCTGAAGCTGTGCCCCAACATCAAGCAGAAGTAGGTCCCCGTTGTATAAGGCCCCATTCACACTGAGCGACATGAAAATCGCGCGATTTTGAGCGATATTGCGCGACATTGATCGACTTTTTCCTATTGGGCTGTATGCAATCAGGAGCAAAATCGCTCGAAAAAAGGGTCATGTAGGAGCGACGAGATGTGAACAGCTCCATTGAAATGGATTGGAGAAGCTACATAGAGCGATATCGCGTGGAAATATGAGCGATATCGCTGCAAAAATCGCTCGATAAATCGCTCAGTGTAAGACCCCGTTCACATTGAGCGATTTATCGCGCGATATAGCGGCAAATTACCGCGCGATATCACGCTCCAATGGGGCAAAGGGTCCTGCTGTCGCGGGTCGTTTGTCGCTACAGCAGGACCCTTTTTGGAGCGGATTTAGCCGCGATTCAAGCTTGCTCAATGCAAGCTTGAACGCGACATCGCGCGGCAAATCTCGCGATGTCGCGCGACTTGCATATCGCGCAGTGGGAACGGGGCCTAATAGATCCCCCATATCTCAAGACAAAATCACTGCGCTAAGAAACGTACAACTTCTACATAGACAACAGTGCCTGGTGATGGCCCCAACGTAACATGCCACCTCCCCTATAGTTACAATCAATACAATCTCAAAACTGCACGTGCAGTGTGTTGTGATCCGGATCCTCGTACACTTCTCCTCATACGGAAGTTACATTGAGGCGTGACGAGGTTCCCCGGAGTGTACGCAGCGCGTTTCACGGTTTGAGTCTCGCCGTCTGATCTTTCCCTTCTGTCCTAGTCACACACAGCCGGACACAAGGTATTCACCTGTCATCACCTCTGTGTGGATTTGTCCTTGAAGCGATGACACGCAGATACATTCTGTTTTGAGAAGGCTTTGCTGAGCTTTACACTGACTTAGTTATGAGCTTTCCTGGTTTGTTTTTAGTGACACTTCGCTAGGTGAAAAGTTTAAGGAGAACTATGGAGGTCAGTGCTTTTCCCCGTAATACTCAGGGTAACGGGAGGACACAAACTAGCATCCTCCCGTCACCCTAGGCTCAGTATATAGGGAGCTACAGCTCGCGGTATGCTGAGACGCCGCAGCCGGGACGGATCCCGACATTACTGTCTGTATCCGCCCAGCTGCGTGAGTGACAGCTGGCTCTGCCTATCTAGAGGCAGAGCCAGGTGTACCCGCACCCTCCCCCCCTGTCCGTTCTGCCAGTCAGTGCTGGAAGATCGTAGCGGGGAGGGGGGGAATCCAGTCCCTCCCCTGTCACGGCTCTCTGCGCAGATAGATCGAGAAGTGAGCGAGCGCCGGTATGTGATCGCTCACCTCCCGATCTACTGAGCCGACCTGTGACAGTCTCATTGTCGCAGGTCGGCTAGAACTATGAGGAGGAGTGAAAATTGCCCCCCCTCATAGTTCTCCTTTAACCCCGAAGCCCCCTGTATAAGGTGGTTGGCCAGTTAAATCTCCACGCGCTCAAGTTCCGGGTGCGGCCGTTCTCTGACCGTTCCATGGTGTGTTTGATAATACGTCCCCTCCTGGGTGCCGGGGCTCCATACACCACCCCCTTCCGTGTCATGATATAGGGGCTGGTGGGTAAACTCACAATGGGGATCATACAATCCAACACACCGGCGGTACCTGGAGCTGTTCGAGGAAGATTTTACTCGCACAGTTAGTTCATACTCTCCTGTCTTTCACATGGGGCTGCTGGGTTTAGCCCCTCACCGGGCTGGTTACATTCTCTCAGGTGGTCGCTGATCTCTGTTCTGTAGAAGCCATGATCTCCATATGGGGCACCGGTGAAACGGCTGTGTGCCATCTCCTCAGTCCCGGCTGGTAACACATCCTCATTCTGTTCAGTTCTCTGACCTTTTGGATTGTTGTACTTTTCAGGGTGGACGTTGTCATCTGTCTCAGCACCACGGTCCGAAATGACACCCTGCAGGATCTGAAGGAGCAGAGGGTGTCTCTGAAGTGCCGCAAGCAGCTGAGGGTGGAGGAGCTGGAGATGGTAAAATCCTTGTGTGTCCCCCCTATAGATACTAGAAGCTTTCTCCGTGGAAGTGTGTGTGTATATATATATATATATATATGCGAGGGACTCGGATCATCACTCTGAGATCCAAGAAGGCGATTCAATACATTGTATGTAGACCCCCGTATACCTCGCACTGCTCAGACCTCCCCTAGCTACACACACCTTTCTATTGCGTACACCTCAGCACACTACTTAGTGGTTTCGGTTGGTACCCAAGGCAGTCCTAAAGCCTATCTACAAGCAAATATGAATTCCCTCCCCGTCGTCCTCTTCCCCCTCCTGCCTCACTGGCAGTTCCCAGGTGCAGGGGACTCCTAATCCAGAGCACAGAGGCAGGAGGGGGTTAATATTTCCCCGGAGTTTGGCTTGAAGGGGAAGAAGCGTTGGAGGCTTGCTGTCTATTGCATGTCCTTCCTTATTGTTATAATGTTTCTTTTATAGATTGGAAGGCTCTCCTCCTACTTCCTCTCTGTGTCTCCTACTTCCTCTCTCTGTCTCCTATCCTCCTACTTCCTCTCTGTGTCTCCTACTTCCTCTCTCTCTCTCCTATCCTCCTCCTTCCTCCGTGTCTCCTCTCCTCCTCCTTCCTCCGTGTCTCCTCTCCTCCTCCTTCCTCCGTGTCTCCTCTCCTCCTCCTTCCTCCGTGTCTCCTCCTCCTTCCTCCGTGTCTCCTCCTCCTTCCTCCGTGTCTCCTCCTCCTTCCTCCGTGTCTCCTCCTCCTTCCTCCGTGTCTCCTCCTCCTTCCTCCGTGTCTCCTCCTCCTTCCTCCGTGTCTCCTCCTCCTTCCTCCGTGTCTCCTCCTCCTTCCTCCGTGTCTCCTCCTC